GGCGCGCGCGCCCCGCACCCGAGGGCTGCGGAAAGATATTTTGGGTGGCAGGAGGCCCCTCGTCATTTCCGCCGGGCGGCTAGTCGTGCCGGGGGCTTCACTCCCGCGCACGAGGCGAACGGGCAAGTTGTCTGCGGGCGAGAGGTGGCGGCTCCTTCCCTTCGCGCTGCGACCCTCGGCACTGCAAGCTATGAACTGAAGCCCCGGTGGGACGGAGACCCGAGCGGAGTGGCGGAGCAACGGCAGGAGCCGCCGCCTCAGCAGGGACGGAGCAGAGCCGGCGCAGAGCCGCGACCCCGGCGCCTTTCCCTCCCCGTCGCCGCTCCCACCGCTGCTGCCCGCCGCTTACTGAGAGACATTGCAGCCGCGAGACTCGACACACAAAAGCCGCCTTCTCCGTGCCGTCCTCCCTGCGAGGCAGTGGCCAGCAAGGGACCCCACCTGAGGGCGGCTCGGGCTGCTGAGTTCGTTTTGTGTCTGAGCTCCGCGCCCTGCGCGGAACCGACCCCATACCCATGGCTCTGATCATGGAACCGGTGAGCAAATGGTCTCCGAGTCAAGTAGTGGACTGGATGAAAGGTAATGCCCGCTGTGTGGAGGGCGAGACGGCCCTGGGGCGCAGGGTTCCTGCGCGAGGTGGGGAAGGGGCGCCCGCCGCGGCTGAGCCCGCCATCGGGGCTTCCGCCGGCTGATCAGGAGGCGCCAGGGAGCGGTGGGGGTCTTCCCAGGCTGACAGGGGCTCGGGATTCCGGTCTCCTATTGTTTCCAGCCAGTGGCTTCCCAGCCGGAGAGGGGCGCCGAGAGGCGCAGAGACCGCGGGGGTGGCGGGCGCGACCCGATGGGAGGCTGGAAGCTGGGCGGCAGAATCCCGGTTCACTTCACCCGCTCCTCGCTCCCCTCGGCGCCCACAGGCCAGGGGGACATGGCGACCCTGGTTTTTCCCCTCAAGGAGGAGCCCCCAGGGACCTGCTCCTCTGGTCGCCGCTTCCCTGGCCTCTTTGTTCCTGGGAATCCTGACGCCCCCTCTGCGGCCGCCCCTGCCAAGTGCCTTTCCTTGCGCCAACTCTCCCAGCAACTTTTAAGCCCACATAATGGGGTCAGGACGCGGCCGCCCGGGTTTGGATCCGGGGAGCTCTCTCTCTTCCCCAGGTTGGGCTGAGGATGCTCGGGGATGCACTACTTTGGGGGAGAGGAAAACCTGCTTCCCCTGGGACAGCATCCGCGCTAGAATCTGTGGCTGCCTCCTGTGCATCTCCCCGAGTCCTTTGCCCCCTCCTCTTCTGACCGATTGAGGCTTTGAACCTTAGGGCTTTTAATTGTGGGCTCGACGCCAGGTGTAAGATGATGCGCATTCAAGTGTCCCCTCATTTCTTCCATCTTGAAGACTCTCCCCCTTTTTTTCCCCGGCAATTTCTAATAACCATACTTAAAGACAGTCGCCCTCCTAGTCTCAAATGTGGGCTTTTTCCTAGTCCCTGGGCTTTCCTGCCTCACTATCTCCCTCTGTTGTCTGAGTTGAGGGGCCTGTAGAGTACCCTTTCCTCACGACCACTGCACCCCCCTCCCACCCCCCAAAATTCCTAAGATTTGAGGAATGCTGACAGGGGATGGGTGGAATGGGAAAAAAAGGATTCCTGGCCGCACTTGGGAGGTATTAGAGGTTATTCGTAGGCACAAACTCTAGGTAGATTAGTCAGGGACCAAAGGCTTATCGTTTGAAAATGCCCGTTCCGAAGATGAGGGAGCTCTTTCTTAGGGCTTGCTTCGCAGTCCGACTTTTTTAAGCTCCAGGTACTTTAGAACGAAAGGTAGGTTGATTGCAAGTGATTGAGAACGGAAGGGAGAAACTCAGCTTTTTCCCTTTTCTCTCGAACCTTTTCAATAGTCTTGCTTGTTCTTGTGGATTTTCCTTTATCCATTTGCTTTGCTTTTACTCCTTTACTTGTCCCTTTATTCCTAATTTACCTCGTTTTTCTTTTCTAATACGTGGAAAGTGCTTTGTAACTGCAAAGCACAGTACAAATGAGAGTGTATTGAATTAAATCGAATTTATTATTTACCGAACCCCCCCACCCCCGTGTGCGGTGCATTGTGCTAAGGTGCTGTGGTGCCATGACTAAGACAAAGTCCTGCAGTGGCTTTTTTTTTCTTTTTCTCCTGTTTCTTCTCTTTTCATATTTGTTATTGAAATTCGGCTTTTCTAGATTCCCATCAAATTTTCCCCCCTTTGGATTGTCAGATGCAGACAAACATCTGTACTCTCTCTTTCTCAATCATGGAAGAAAGAGCCAGGGTGTATGCAAGAAACAAGAATGATTAATTAAAACCCTTTCTTTGCATTTGCCTAAAAGATCACTTTAGTTTGAATTTGTTATTGAAATACTCAAGGAAACGCTTTCTTGGCTCTATGGGAGTCAGGTTACCTTTAGAGACTCTCTCACAAATTCCCGTGATGCTTGTAGTGAGTGCTGCATACTCCATCTTCTTCACCTCCCACCCTCCCGGTACATTCTTGCAGTTTCCCCTCTCTCTCCACGGTTTAGGTCCACTGAAGCAAGCAGAACCTATGATGCACATATTCTGACACACATTATTAGTTTTTAAGTTACTAGTTCTTTAAAAATCTCTCCAGCCTAAAATCCAGTTTGAAGTTGGGCTAACATCATTAGCTGTGATTTTAAATGATTGTTATATTTAAGTTGAATAACTTAATTTCAAACCTCTTGGTGATGGATTTTAGAGCTTTTCAAAAAGAGAGAATTTGTGTATCTTTGTACACATTAGACTGGAAGAGAATAATGTCATTATTTGTATGTTTCAGGTCCCAAACTGCTTACTGGCGAAATTTCCATAATCTTCATATAAATATGATTTTGAGATACTACCAGAAAATAAGATTTTAAAAATAGCTGGATGAAACAAATGTTTCCTCAACTTGTAACTTACACTGTTACCTTAATTAATTTTTCCCTCCTTACCCTTTATCCAAATAAACTTTACAAAACACATTTTTAAAATACTTTTCTCCCTTTCTTCAGATGCAATAGTGTTTAAAAGTCAGTTAATTTAGGCTGTAGCTTTGGAATGGCTCCACCTCATTTAGCGTTGTATAATGTACAGTGTTATAAAGAAAGTACCAAAAAATGAACAGGACTTTGGAAAAACTACAACATTATGGGAGTTTTTTAAAGCATGCTCCTAATGTGACAGTTTCATCATCCTTAACGTTTAAAGCATATATATAGCATACTTTCAGCTAGTCACAATTATAGATAGTTAAACTCTTTATTAAGGTATGTTCTTTATGCTCTTTCTAGGGTATTTTTTTCTTCACTAAAACAGAAAAAGAACCATTAAGCATATAAGAATAGCATGGCCATATATTTATAGTTCCAGACAAATTATAGGCAGGCTATAGAAACTCAGTCAGCAGGGAGGGAGATAAAGGGGAAAAAACCAAGCTGACAAGATTATTAAGCTTTGATAGCATGTATTCAAGATTAATTATGAAGGACCATTTATACATTGCAATTCACTCTGATTTATTACATTTTATTAAAATATATTTGAGGGAGACATAAATATTAAATTTGTATGATAATTATTAGTAAAGAAAGCTATGAGGAAATACTTCCATTTTTTTTGTTCACCCCCAACTCCACTGCTTGTAAACTCCAGTATTTACTGAATTTTCTGCTGACAATAAAAAGTCAGATATGGCACAGTGTCAATGTTAGTTCCAGTAAATACATGAACTTCTTATGAGTCAGTAAAATAAGCATTTATGTCCTAGATTGTCTTGATAGTACTTAAGACTATTTGGAAATACCTCATAGGCGTCAAAATTAATTTTAAAAATTAATTTCATAAAAAGACTTTTTGAGAAAATCAAATACTTACCATTTAGCGTTTGAAACCAACCGTTTTCAGCTGGAAATTACATTCAGTCCTCTTGTAGCTTTGACAAAATTTTAAAACATAAACCTTTTTACAGTAAATAAAAACAAAGCAGTTATTGGAAAAAGCTGTAGGTAGAAAAGTAGGCCAATAACTGCTTCTTATGTTTGCTCAGTCTAGTACTCAAAAAGACATTATTTCTCAGCTCCTGTCTGTTCGCTAGCAGGGTCTGGAAATATTTCATAATCTGCAGTTGCTTGAATCCACTTTTCCCCACTGAAATATAGCAAACCTCCCTGAACACATTAGGGCCCCTGTTATTAATTTTATTATTCATTTTCCTTGTCCATGTCACACCCAATAATTCCATTTTCTTCTCATACCTTTTCTGACTTTGAAACTCTTTCAAAATATCCACATGACTAAGATAAAGTTATTTCCGGGGTCCTGCTCCCTTCATGACATTTTTCCAGTGATCTTTAATCCCTTTCTGAATCAAGTAAAATGGATTATTGTTTTCAAAGTCAACCAACAGTCCCTGCTTTGCTGTTCTTCCCTTATGGTCTCTGTGACTTAGCTTCATCCACTGTTGTATTATTATGATTCCTTAAATAATTTAAAATTTTAAGATAGCTTCTTAAATCATACCACAATTAACTTCTCTGCTCTTTCCTGTTTACTATAAAGCATTTTCTTTAAGAAGCGTTCACTGACTTCTAATTCCTGTCCTGATGACTCAGCCATCTTGAGGACAGAAAATGAAATACATTATTTTAGGTATAAAAAACAAAGATAAAACCAATGTTTTGCATACAATTCTGAAAAATAGGAACACGCAGTGATGAAATAAGGTCTATTTAGTATGAAAGTTAAATGCTGTAAAGGAGAATGTGTCCGAAAATGTAAAGAAGTTTTGACAGGTACAGTGCTCTTTAGTCATTTTTTTCCCTCATAGGACCCAACGCTGAGGTTGAAATTTATCTTAGGGGAAGGGAAATGTCAAATTTTTGAGTTAAACTGTCTTGAAAGAGAGATCAGGAATAATTTTCTGGCAGGAACTTGAGGAGTATACACTGCAAGGAAAAAAATATGTTAAATGATCAAATTGGGGTCCTGTCACTTCCCTTTGAAACATTAGCTTTTTTCTCAATTGCAATGTGACTAAATAGTAACCAACAATCACCTAATTTGGATTTGACATTTTTGGAACAGGAACTCTTGTCGTTTTATACAAAGAGGAAATTCATCTTTTCGATATGTATAGTTTAGTTCACAAAAAACATCATTTTATTTATAGTGTCGTTAATATCTGCTCCTTAAGGTAACACTCATGATTTAGTGCACATGGGGGGAAAAGCATATTTATGTAGATATATTCTGGTTCTTAGATATTATTTACTCAGTACTTCAGTGTGGGAGGTGCTTTAATGGTTGGATTGAAAAAAAATAATTCCCTGCTTTGGAGAAGTCAGTCTCTATAAGATATGGCAGTGACATTGACAAACCTATGCCAAGATAGAGACAGGCACCAACTAGGACATTTGGTAAATTTTAGGAGTTTGCATTATGTATACAAGCACCAGTGGAAAAAGAAGATGATTTTAGAAAGTCAGGAAGGAATCCATGGGGAAGGTGGGGTTTTAGGAATTTGCTTAATTAAGGCATATTGTAAGGGGGATGTA